AAGGAACGTAGCTGGCCGTATTCCGCGGCTATCATGAGTGCTGTTCGGCCACGCCAGTCCGTACAGTTGATGCTGACATTTCCGTGCGACAGTAACAACCGAACAACGTCTGCGTGACCGTTCCTCGCTGCTGCCATGAGTGGCGTGTGACCATGCTCGTCCCTTTCGTTCACGTCCAGCCCAGGCACCATCATGAACACCTTCACCACCTCTGTCTGCCCGCTGGCCACCGACCACGCGAACGACGTCTTGCCTGTTTTCTGCCGCCAGCTGATGTAGGGCCCGTTCTCCAACAACTTAACGACGTCACCAATGTTATCCACCTGCATGTCGCTGACAGGATCGTTATAGCGCTGGGTCATGGCAGAGGGCGTATGAAGGGACGAGTCTGAAGATGAGTCATCCACGCCATCATCTGGTCCTGTTGACGCCAGTTGCTTGTACCGCGTCAGAAGCTGTTCGATATCTTTGTTGCACTGCAGTTTGGCCCAAGTGAGCGCCGTGCGCCCGTTCTTGTCTTCTATTTCAGTCTCACATCGAGAGTCTCTCAGCAGAGTCTTGACTGCTAAAAGCTGATTGTAGCGAGCAGCCCACATCATGGGTGTCAGTCCCTCATTATTAGGTATGTTGGGCTGAAGTGTCTGGTACTGCTGAAGGAGCTCAATCACGTGCACGGCGCTGTTTCTGGCTGACCATGCCAAAGCGGTCATGCCGTCCCCATCTGTCTCGTTGATGTCCACTTCAGGGTGTGCCAAAAGTCTCTGCACCAACGTTCGCTGGCCACTGCGAGCAGCCAGAATAAAGGCAGTAAGGCCATTATTGGTCTTAGAAAAGATTTTGATCATACGATGTGACAGAAGAGCTGACAAAACTTCCTCGTGTCCGCCGGTGGCAGCCATCATAGCTGGGGTGAAGCCTTCTTGATCACACAGGTTGGGGTCAACACTGGGGTGGTGAAGGAGGATGTAGGCACAGTCAGCGTGGCCAGAACGCGCAGCAAATAGGAGTGCCGTTCGACCCTGACCGTCCTGGATGTTGATGTCCGCGTCATTACATTTACAGAGCATATTAACTATGGCTGAGTGGCCGTGTTCAGCTGCACGCATCAGAGGCGTCACCTTGTCCTTCGTACAAACATTAATGTCTGTAGCGTCATGCTGGAGGAGAATGCTGGCCACCTCCACGTGCCCTGTTTCTGCCGCCATCAACAAAGGAGATCGACCAATTTTATCCTTTCTAGAGAGATTAATCCCGCGCTTTACTAACACCTCTGTCGTCTCTACTTGACCCACGGACACGGCCCACATGAGGGCGTCCATACCATCCTTGTCTACTGTGTCTAGACTGGCATTATCGTCCAGCAGGACTGTGACACAGCTGGCGCTTCCACCCGCCGCCGCCCATAAGAGCGCTGTGGAGCCATCTGGGTGGTGCTTGTCCACGGTGGTGCGATAAGAACCTACAAGCTGCCTGACGACACTCTCGTGACCCAGAACGGAGGCCTTCATGAGGGTCGTCTCACCAGCGTTGTTAGTCAGGTCTGGCTCAGTGTCGGGGTGCACCATGAAGAGCCTCACCACCCCTGTGTGGCCCCCGTGAGCCGCCCACAACAGTGCCGTCCACCCGTCGTTGTCCTGCAACAACCAACCATCACGTGAACACACACACACTGGCCAATGGGATCCTACCACACCTGCCTGACATAATAAATCCTGTGGTAACAAGACGATGAGAAGAGATAGGGTAAAATAAGGATCCGACATCGATAAATACACCAGAAAAAATGGACAGATTGTTCTATGTCCATGTGAGAGGTGACACAAGGCGACACAACGACACAAAGAGTGACAGTGGCCTGCAAATTGATATGAGTGTCCTGACATACATACCTGCAAGTTGACGTGGGTGGCCTAACGTACAGTCCCGGACATTTCCGCGTTAGACACTCATCCACAAATGTGAACCCCGTGAATGTGAGACTAGAGAATCTGAAGCAACAGGCAGAGATTTGTTTATCTTGTAATAATGTGTGTGTGTGTGTGTGTGGGCAGGGTGTAAGGAGGAATGTTAGGGGTTGGGGAGTGCAGGGGTGTAGGGTAACTGTTGTCATGTGTTGTTTCAACTTACTATGGATTTGGGTTTGCTCTTGTATTAAATATATAAATACATATATAAATATATATATATATATATATATATATATATATATATATATATATATATATATATATATATATATATATATATATATATATATATATATATATATATATATATATATATATATATATATATATATATATATATATATATGCAAGTAAATCACTGTAGTTGGTGGTCTGGGTATATGCTGATAAGCAAGGAAGAACACGAAGTGTTTTCTTTCTTTCCTATATATATATATATATATATATATATATATATATATATATATATATATATATATATATATATATATATATATATATATATATATATATACTGTATATATCAAACAAAGAAGTATGTGTGTTTGTGTGTCCGCACGAGAATCTCGGAAACTACTTTACCGATCTGTAGTGATGATGGATGGTGTTATATGTAGTGATGATGGATGTTGTTATATGTAGTCATGATGGGTGGTGTTATATGTAGTGATGATGGATGATGTTATATGTAGTGATGATGGATGGTGTTATATGTAGTGATGATGGATGATGTTATATGTAGTGATGATGGATGGAGTCATATATAGTGATGATGGATGGTGTTATATGTAGTGATGATGGATGGAGTTATATATAGTGATGATGGATGGTGTTATATGTAGTGATGATGGATGGTGTTATATGTAGTGATGATGGATGATGTTATATGTAGTGATGATGGATGTTGATATATGTAGTGATGATGGATGTTGATATATGTAGTCATGATGGGTGGTGTTATATGTAGTGATGATGGATGGTGTTATATGTAGTGATGATGGATGGTGTTATATGTAGTGATGATGGATGGTGTTATATGTAGTGATGATGGATGGAGTTATATATAGTGATGATGGATGGTGTTATATGTAGTGATGATGGATGGTGTTATATGTAGTGATGATGGATGATGCTATATGTAGTGATGATGGGTGGTGTTTTATGTAGTGATGATTAGACAATAAAATAATAACAGTTTAATGCTAAGAAAATATACTTTGCTGTACCATTGTAGTGAAAAACATGGTGGAACTTACATACACCGTTAATGAACTATTGATGGAAGAAGAAGTTTTGGGGACTGAACAGTGAGACAATGTGGAGCCTCCCGGAGGGTGGCGTCCTACCGTGGCCTCGCGAACGAGGGATGAACCATGTAAACTCGTCCCAAAGCATTGCCTGACTTTATCCCTGGACATCCTTCAACATCGGATCCTTGAGCTCTTCTCTGGAACTTTTTCATTGAAGTCTGCCATATGTAGTACTTGGGTACGTCAACAAACAGGAGTTTTTGAGCAAACTCATCTTCCTGTGAAAGCTTGAAGAATGCAGTGAGGGTCGTATCAGCAGGATTTGCCATTTGATTTTGGAGAGACTCTTCTGTGAAGTATACTCTTTGTCCATTTTCCAGGTGAACAGCCAGATGAACTACTGTTGGACATCGTTCGTGTATGGGAAAATTATAAATTTTCCACAGGGCTTCAGTGCTGCATATATAACGGCCCTGCTGAAACTGTCACCTCATCATGATTTCCATCCTTTTCCAATGCAAAGATCGCTTGGTCAGAGCCTCTGTTGACGTATTTGCAAACATACTTGATGGACTTGACTGAATTGCAGAACTCCACATTGATGTGCTCATTGAATGCTTTACTCAAAAGAGGATTGTAGGGGACCACCCATTTGTTGTCTACTGTTATTTCACTGTCTGTTCCAGGCCGCAACACTGCTGTAAAACCTCCATCGCCTGGCGCTCTTCTCCTGTACTGAGGATAGCTATCTTCTCCACTCTGAGTATCCTTTCTCAGGTCTTTTGGGAAGTTTTTGGTGCAACGTCCATCTTTCATGCATGGAGAGTGTCTGTTGAATGGTCCACATGGCCCATGAATCATTTGCTTCTTGATGATCTCATAGAGAACTGGATCTTCTTCTGGATCAGGAAACTCTGCTCGTATGCAGTTGTCAATCATGTTCGGTAGAAGTTTCTCTTTCAGCCACATCAAGACATGGGCATGTGGTAGACCTCGTTTCTGCCACTCAATGGAGTACATGTAGCACTGTGTAGGGCCAAAGATTGATGCTTTTATAAGCAAGTCCATGAGTTTGAACACTTTCTGACGAAATACTCTCGCTACAATATCATGCCGATCTTGTCCCTTCTGACCTTCCATTAGAGCTTCTGTTATGTCAGTCCATACAGGGTTGCAAGTAAAAGTAATGAAGAGATCTGGTCGTCCATAGTTTCTGACGTAGGTCATGGCATCCTGAGTCTTTTCATGCATGAATCGAAGACCTCCAATGAAGGAAGAGGGGAGAATCACCTCCAACATTGCCCACATGTCCATCCCTTTCTACTGCATCTCTCAGATGAATGTAGTCATCAACCTTGAGCTTATTTTGGTTGAGTCGTATGAAGATGAGTCTTTCTGTTTCAATTATGGCATACATGTCCACTACAAATTGGTAGAAGAGGTTCCTTGATCTTAGTATCTGGTTGAAACTGTCTTCTCTGATCATGAATCTGTATGAATAAAGTCATTGGATAAGACTTTCTTACCTACTTTTGCCACACCAGTCGCTGGATCTGTGTGAGGAATGTTCAAGTGATATCCATCTTCACCTTTCCAGAAGATGAGAGGATACTGCAGTGCATCATAGGATCGATGTGTCTCTGATATTCTTGTGAGCGACTCGTCTCTCATTTTGAGTATGATGTCTCGTTTCTCAAACTCTTGACCGACAATCAGGATGGCTACTTCATCAACTACAGGAGCATTGAATCTTCTTTCAAGTTCTCCCTTAGGGGTCGTGTCTGCTTTGATCCTGACTTCGTACTCGTCAGAAGGCATGTTTTCCAGGGCATTTTTAAATGACTGTACATACGTGTTGCACTCATTCAGCATTTCTTGGATAGATAGGACAATGTCATGTCTGACACCTTGAATATTGCTACACCTGATAGTAGTCTGCTTTTCATGATCTCCCATGAAGTAGATTTGGAGGAACTTTGTCTGCTCATCTTCTAGTGGTAAGAGGGATCCTGCTTTGTGATAGATTTGACCCTGGACTTTGAATGTGGGCATGTATCCGTGCTCACGAAGTACTCTGGTAGCTCCAAAGGATGTCATCTGGAAACATGAATTGTACTTCCGTATAATTTCCAAGAAGTGTTTTGACTCTGGTGTTGTTCCCAGCATGAGAGTCTTCAATGGTTGTGGTGGTTTTTCCAAATTTGGCAGTCGTACTTTCCCATGAGAGCAGCACAGTCCAGCAGATTCTCCTTTATACTTCTTTGCACCGCAGTGTTCACATTTCTTATCCATGTTGCCAATGACAACAGAGGGATACTTTTCATATTCTATCTCATTGTCATAGTTAAATGCTGTTCTTGCAAGTGTAAGCCACTGTGTATTCTTTCTTAGAATTCTGGATCCCGCAGATCTCTGTCTATTAGCATTCAAACGAATTTCACGTGCTTGATCATTTTCTAGAGAACGCCTTTCTGCTGTTTGCTATCTGTCAGCATTAAGACGGAATTCCCTTTCCTGATCTGTTTCCTGTGACCGACTTGCCGCTGTTCGCTCTCTCATAGCATTAAGACGGGATTCTCTTTCCTGATCTGTTTCCTGTGACCGACTTGCCGCTGTTCGTTCTCTCTGAGCATTAAGATGGAATTCCCTTTCCTGATCTGTTTCCTGTGACCGACTTGCCGCTGTTCGCTCACTCTGAGCATTAAGACGGGATTCCCTTTCCTGATCTGTTTAATGAGACCGACTGTCCGCTGTTCGCTTTCTCTTAGCATTAAGACGGGATTCCCTTTCCTGATCCATTTCCTGTGACCGACTTGCCGTTATTCACTCTCTGTTAGTTTGTAAACGTGCAGCACGTTGTTGCCTTGATTCACTTGATCTTGATTGCTGCTTTCTCAATGCATCTCTCTGTTTTCTTTCAAGAATTGACAGCCTTGGTCGTTTATTTGGCGGCATTTTGTTCTGTACGTTTGACATACCTCGTTATCGTTAGAATGGACATGACACCAGCATCACACAATTAAGACAGGGTGGAACATTGCTGTGTCAAATGGTATAGCAATTAAACTATTATTATTTCATTGTCTAATCATCACTACATATTAGGGTGTGTCATAGGAGGGAAGATCAGCTAAAACTAATGGCCCATCACTTTTTTGGTAGATTTTAGTGTATATAAACAGAAAATAATTTCAGTTTCAATATTTTGCAACCTTTTGCTAGGTAAATTTTAGCGTGAAATTTATCGAAAATCTAACGTACAGCTGCATTAGTGCATTACAATTAAATAGTGAACATTGCTTTCTGACTTCATTCTTTAACAACCCAACTAACAATATTTTTTTCTGTTTCAGATTCTGATGCATTTATAAGTTGATAATATTTGCGATGGCTGCTTGTGTCAGGACGAGGAACCAA